CTGAGTGAGCGTCTCACATCTACCACATACTCGCAAGCTCTGGGCCCCATACCTGACCTGGCTCCTGTAAAAGCCTGGGTAACCAACAGGTCTTGGGCCAGCCTGGCTGTCCGCACGAAACCACCATGCAAGCCAGGTACTTTCTGTCCACCGCAGGTGTGTCCAGGCCCTGCCAGGCCTATACCCTCATCCATCATGCTGGCAACCAACCTGCAAGGGTGGCTACTTGCCAGGCAGGGTCCCAAGCTCAACAAAGGTAGTAGAGAGAAAGAGGGCCATCGCTGTGCGTCCACCATCTGGGCAGGTGAAGCAGAGACCAAGTTACAGCAATGGGCCCAAACCATGGCTAGAGGAGGATGAGACTTAGAGCTGGCCCTGGACCTCCAGGGCCCCATATCTTACACACCAGAGTAAGAGCCCAGTGAAGGTGGCCATCAACTGAATGTACTATAAATATTATACACTGTGATTATAATTGCCACAATTACATGGATGGCAAATAGGACACTATTTTTGAGATCCCTAAAAGGTTTTCATGTCTTCTGCCTAAATGCCTTCTCTAGTATCAGTCTGCAGGAGACAGATCAAGTCAGGTCTCTGTGGCCGCCCCCAGCAAATATAATTCCCCAGGCCCTCAAGGCCCTTTCTGGGGGTGTCTCATACCTCAATTCTCTAGTTGCCAACAGACTCATCTGCAGGAGAAAAGGGAAGGAAGAGATGGACAGTGATGGGTACAGTAACAGAAGAGGGAGAGACCCCCAGGAACCCTCTACCCTGCCCCCATCCAAGGTCAGACTCCAGACCCAACAATCTGCAGGCTCAGAGGACTTGGGAGGGCGGGGGAGGCCAGGAGGAGAGGGGAGGCACCAAGGAGTCAGGCTGGAACCTTCATAACACTCAGTCCCCAGGCGTGAACGGCCACACGGCTGCTGAACAATGCAGTTTTGAATTCAATTAAAGCGATTATCTGTTGTGCCAAATAAATTGTGTACAGCATATATCCTGCGGCACTTTACACCTCCAGGCTCATTATTCCCGAACTGTTTCCTCCTGTTTATGCGCTCTCAAATTAAATTGCTGATAATATGCGCCAAAATAAAAAATGAGCGCACCTTGTCCCAAGAAAATTGATTCTTCCTTTTCCTGAACTGGCGATTGCCAGGTTTTATATACTCTGTTCCTGGTGATCATTAGTAATTCAATTTTCTTTTTATTAGCCCCCTTATCTGCTGAGCAATATAGTGGCAGGGCTGACCTCTTTCGCACGGGTAAATGTTTAAAATCTTTTCCCTGATTAATTTTGCCAGTTAAGAAAAAGAGGAGAAATGGCCCGGCTCTTAGCTATCACAATGAATAAAGCTTAATGTTGATTGTGATGGAATTTCTAATGCCAGGGAAATTGATTGAACGCAGCAATTACGCTGCAATAGTAACTCAAGGGAGATGGGATCACTTTCTCCTGGTCGTAGCCTTTTGGTTATTTAAAACAATCCAATTTGCAAGGATAATTATGTATTAGCGTTTTATCTGCCACTTGAAATGAACAGGGGAGTTTCGATACTGGCCCAGCATTAGCAGGTTATTGCTGCAAATTACTTGATATCTGCTTTCTTTCACATAAAGAGGAAATTAGGCAATCAATTACCAAAAAAAAAGGTGGACTGAGGGATAAGAGGGGCAAGTGCGCCCTCTGCTGTCCACTGCTAGGCCCTCAGGCAGGCCACCAGGCAGTTTCCAGAAGCCCCTCTCCCTAGCACAAGAGTCCACAGATATGTCAGGTCCCTCCCTGTAAACCTGGGCACTGCTGCCTCCTGGAAGAGAGCTAGAGCTGGGACTAAGCTTCTGCAGGGAGGAAAATGGGGAAAGAGAAAACTCCAAGCAGCCAAATGAAAGGGTGGCCCGTGCCTGCTGATCCCATCCACAGGAGACCCTGCTGTCTAATGGCCACACTAGCCTAGGGTCTGCACATTTCTGGAGACAGCACAACCTCAACAATGTGGTAACGCCCCCAGCCAACTGGACCCTTGGCCACCCAGGGAAGACTAAGGGGAAATCCCAGAAGGGCTCACTCACTAACTAAAGCATATACAGCTGAAGTCCTCAAGTCCCGGGCCATGGACCGTACCAGTCTGTGGCCTGTTAGGAATTGGGCTGCACAACAGGAGGTGTGCAGAGGGCAAGCAGAGCTCCATCTTCTGGCAGATCAGCAGGGGCATTAGATTCTCATAGGAGCATGAACCTGCACATGAACCTGTCATAAACTGCACATGCAAGGGACCTAGGCAGCATGCTCCTTACAAGGAGCTCCCCACTCCTCTCCTCAGTGGAAAAATTGTCTTCCACGATACCAGTTCCTGATGCCCAAAAGGTTGATGGACCACTGACCTACAGTATTAAATGAAAGAAAGTGCGTTTTAGGAGTGGTGTTTCTTGAACCCAAAGCAGCCCTAGCCAGGGCTCAGAACAGGCAGGAAGGGAAGCAGCAGCAGCTTTGCAGGAGGGAGCCTGGGAGAGCCACACACCGACTGCCCAGGGAAAGTCAGGCTCCACCCAGGCCCCATTCCAGGGAAATGCTTGTCCTCACTTACATCTCCTTAGCAGATGCCCTGGCCAGGACCATCTCCTCCTGAGACCTGCCTGTGGTCTCGCAGTGGCTGGCTCTGGGGCCACCTGCCCAAGTGGTCACATGAGCTCCCTGCCCACTTAAGAGCATGAAGACCCCTCTGCTAGGCCTAGCAGTCACAGTCTCATACTCAGGCTCTCCTGACTCACTGCCCTCTCCAGGCCTGCTGGACACCCCAGGGGTCCTGACTCTGTCTTCTCAGTGCCCTCTCTGTCCCTCCCTGGCTTCCCAAAGTAACCAGAAACAACCCCCTTTCCCTACATCCTTCAGTCCTGCTGACTTCGTCCCCTTCACCTGGCACTTTCAGACAGCATGCCAGTGTCACAGCTTTCTTCTGCTCCTCGAACACACCAAGTTTGTTCCCAACTCCACCCTCAGCCTGCAGAGCTGAGTGCTATTTGCTCCTTTCCTGGCTCAGGACACCTCAGAGAAGCCCTCCCAATTGCCTGGCCAGTGCCAATCATCCTCCTGGCAGCTCACTCTACACTGCCCTGCCTCCTCTTCTCCAGAGCACATTTTTCTACCTAAAGCATCTTTCCGGCCTATTTATTAGATGGCTGGCTGTCTCCACCATTGGAACGTGGCTCCAGCAATCTCATCACTTCACTGCCGTTCTCTAGAAGCCAGCCCAAGCCTGGCATAAAGGTGCTCAACTATGCTTGCTAGACAGGCAGGTAGGTAGGAAGCTTTCCCCAGTTCTTCCCCCAACAGGACTCTTTCCCCTTCCCTCTCTGTGCAGTAATTGTGCTGGTCTCGATCTGTAACTGTGAAATCATTCATGAACCTCCTCCTAGTGAGGTAGTGACCTGTGGCAGCCCCTCAGCTATTCAGTGCTCGGCAGGGGGCAGCATCCACCATCCCTAACCTGCACCCTGCTCTGCAACAGGTCAGTTGTGGGCACAAGCAAGGCAAGCAAGACTGATCCTGCAGACAACAGCTCCCAACGAGGACTCCCACAGACCTTCCTCCCACCCCGTCTGGCCTCTGTACCTGACTCCTGCAGCCCTCCACCTCCTGGGGGCTCAGGCACAGCTAGACTCTCAAAGCTAGAGGCCTCCTCAACCCCTCCTCCCCAATTGGCCGAGGGGCACCTGCCCACTATCCACCCATCACCTTCCCTCTACTCCCAGCCAGTCCTGTAGCCCAACCCATCTTGCCACCTTGCTACAGCCACCAGGGACTCCATGTGGCTCTGCCTGCTTCCTGTCACCAGGACAAAGACCACACTTGTCCTGGCATGCAACAGGTGTCAGGACAGCCAGCCAGCCAGTGCCTTCAGCCTCACTTCCTCATGTCCCCCCATGTCCCGACCCCCAGGTGCATGGCCTCCTCAGCCCTCTACCTGGGACCCAAAGCCCAGCCCTCCTATGGCAGCCCCTATGCAGGTTCTCTGCCTAGGTCCCATTCCTCCAGGAGCCTTCTCCTGGCCCAGCCAAGACAGTGCCTTCAGCTGGGTTCCCCAAGTACCACACAAACATTGTGGTCACCAACACTAATTCCCAGTCGGACTGCCCACATCCAAGCCTACTTGTCAGCAAATACCCTATCTTCTGCAGATGTCATACTTAGGAGCTTGAGAACCCATCACTCTCGTGTACCCAGGTGCTCAAAGGGAGCCAGAGACACCACAGGACCAGGTACACCCAGACAAATCCCAGCTCCACATGGACAACCGATGGCATCTGGGGAGTGTCATTTCTGTTCCAGGCCCCTTACCACATATCCCAAGTGTGTCCTGGCACCACTGCTTCAGAGTGAGGGAAAGGGTCATCCTCTAAGGGGCCACATGCCCAGGCCTGCCAAGGCGACTATTAAGGGCCTCTCAGGGGCTCAGACAAGTTCTTTTCAGACAAGAACAGACACATTCAGGGTGGTTCACAGACCAAATGAATTTCTATTCAGAAGTGAATGAAGCTGACTCCCCCTCCAGGCCAGCTCAGAATGAGACAGGTAGACCTACAGGCCCAGGCTAGCTGAGAATAGGAAGAGAAGCCCTTGGAAACAGAGGCCTGGGGAAGTCTTAGGCAGCACAAGTTAGGGGCCTTCTCCTCATCTCAGGTCTGAGTGGAAGCCACCCCTTCTTCTCTCAGGTGGGACACACTGGGTCCACACCAAGGGAAATGCAGGAAAGGCCATGTGCCTGCCCAGCAGTATATCCGCACCGACTGCAGGGTGCGGCACCCTAGCCCCTTTCCTCTACCTGCCAGCCCACCACCCCCTATCTGCCAGGCAGAGCCTCTGGGCCAGGGCATCTAGCAGCATGAGGGGTTAAAGGCATATGTGGTCCCTAATAGGCCAGCAGAGTCAACATAGGCCAGGTAAGAGTGCAGCTGACAGGAGTACCCAACCCATGCCCAGGTCTTCCTCCTGGATGTACCTTCCTTGGTGGGGAGGTAGGCCCGGCTTGGTGGCAGACAGCACAGCCGGTGCCTGGTGACCTGCATCTGGCCCTTCTTCAGAACAGGGCTGCTCTTCCCCCGCAGTGACTGTCTCCGCCGGAGGCTGAGGTGGCTCTTGGTAGTGGTGGTGGGTGAGGGGTTGTTCTTCTTATCACCAGGAAGGCTGCGGAAACAAAATGCAGGCAGCTCCCAACAGGCTTCCCAGGCATGGGAGCAGCCCCCAGGGAGCGGTCCAGGGCCAAGACTCAGCAAGTTCCTTCCAAGGCCAGTCTTTCCCACCAATCAGATGCAATAACCAGTTGACTGTTACTATGCCCCCTCCTCTCCACAGCCAGGGTGAGGAAGGGGCTCGGGGATGCCCGAGTTAGGACAGGCTGCACAGTCCCCAGGGAGAGCAGAGGATAGGGACCTTGGCCCTTGGTCCCTTCCCAATGTGCCCACCCCTTCCCCATCTCCCCCTGCCAGAGAAGCCCCCACACGGAGCTAGGGAAGAAGAGTGACAAAGAAAGGTGACATTCCTGAGGAGGAGCAGCGGCTGACACCATGAGGCCTTCCCAAGACCTCTCTATAAGAGGAGCAGGTCCTCAAGACACCCTCTCCATACTTCCTAGAACACAGGAAGTTGCCAGAATGGTTTAGAGCAAAGCTACCATCCAGAAACAGTGAGGAATAGGAGGAAGGCAGACCATGTAATTCAAGACAGCACCTATCTGAGCAACCAGGGCCAGAGAGAATGAGGCTACCCAGAGCCAAAGACCAAAGCCAGACAGCAGGATAACTTCCTGGAGGGGATTTGCAGCAAGAAGGCACCTTCTGTGAAGACACATGCCACCATGTGGATGACAAAGGCAGGCCTCTGCCCTCGGCCCAGCAAGTGCAGCCACCATCCCTGCCCTTAGCTGCTGATCCAGTGAAGGCACCGACACCAGACTCAGACTCTGGGCTGTAACACCATCTTTGAGTATTATCATAATTTCATGAAGGTGGAAGACTGGGAAAGTGACATGCACTCAGCAAAGGAGTGATTCGGCTTGGTCATCTGGCTAACAAGGGAGTGGATAGGATGTAATACCAATCTGCTCCTTCTGTAGCTTTAGAACTCTATGAGGGTGGCCACAAAACCCAAAGTCAGGAATGCCTAGTAGACTGCGGCCCATCAGTCTAATCCGGCCACTGCCTACTCAGCCCAGCTGGAGCAGCCCTTAGCCAGGAGGAAGATACTCAATAAAAGCCAGGCCTCCTGAAGCCCAAAACCCTGGGTCCAGGACAGAGTTGGAGAAACCAGACATCCATCCCCTCCCAGGACAGGACCCAGAACTCCAATCTACCTCCCAGCCCAGACCCATAGCCAGCAGCTCCAGGCCAGTTGCAGACATGCTGCTCTCATATGGCTTCTACTTCCTCTCTAGCAGACACACAGACCATGGGCAGATCCATGGGGGCTGCGCCCCCAGCACCTGGCCCAGCCCAAAGCCAGCCAACCATCCACAAGCCCTGTACATCTAGAATGGAAGCTGCCCCAGCAGCCTTCTGGTCTCTTACCAGTAAGCGAAAGGATGGGCTTGCCAGCACCACAAAAGTCAGAGCATATACTTCTCTCTGATCTTGCCTGACTGGGGCCCCAGGCAAGCCCCTGAACAATTCTGAGCCTAACCTCACATAGCTTTAAAGGCAACAGTACTACCTGATTAATTACTTGCTAGAAACATGAAACACAACTGCAAGCAAAGCTCTAAGCTCAGGCCGACACAACAGCCATGCTGAACAAACCCTCCTCACACCCCCAGGGAGATGAGCCCTCCCATCTGCTCCACACACCGAGGAGGGAGCATAGGCTCAAAGAAGGGACACATTTGCCCAAAATTCTACAAATCAGGGGCCAAGAGGACCCTGCGGCCCCAGTCCCACCAGTCCAGATAGGATGTGGTGGTGGCAGGTGGAAACACCTACCTGCCACTCCCCCGCCTCCGGATGATTTTGGTGCGGCTCTTTACTTTGTAAGCCGAGAGTGGGGTCTCACCAAAAAGGGGCTTCAAGCCACTGGGTCCCACTGCTGCTCTGTCCCCCACAGAGGACCTAGATGGAACTGGGGAGAGCTGGGAGGCATGGTCCTTGCTGCCAGCCTCTGACTGCCAACGGAAGGAGGAAGAGGAGGAGGCAGAGGGACTGGAAGCCTTCCACTTGTACTTGCTGGGGGCAGGCCCTGGCTTGGAAGACATGGCTGGCTTCCTGGGTTTGGCCTCTGGGTCAGTTCTGAGCTGTAATTTCTCCATCTTGTCTGCTGTGCCAAAGGGGGCCTTGCACACATTCTCTCCAGCCACTCTGGGACTAAGGGCTCTCCGAGTAGCCCGGGGGCTCTTCACTGAGGTGGCCACCCATTTATAGTTGTTTTTCCGGAACTTGTTGGTTCGACAGGACACAAGCAGGGAGGTCTCCCGTGCCTGCCTGGGTCCTGAGGCTAGTCTGGCCGGGCCCACTACTGAGTCAGAGAAAGTTGGCTGATCTAGATGAATGGCGTTCACTCTTCCATCCCCGAGGAGCTGTGCTGCACTGCTGGCCCCAGAATGAGAGCCCACCTTCCGGGCCTGAGCCACACTGGTGCGCGAGGACAGGGTAGAAGATGGGATGCTGGCCTTGAGGGCAATCGCGCTCTCACTGACTGTCCGGCGAGGCTCCAAGGGGCTGTCGCCCACACTGCCCACAGACTTTACCACCCTGGGCTTGCCAGGTTCCTTCTGGCAGACCAGACGAGAATCCTCCACATTGTAGCTCCCCTTGACTCTTCCTGGCCTGGAGGTCTGTAGCTGCCCACCAGGAGGCTCACCCTCACCTTCCTGGGGTCTTTGTTTGTTCCAAGGGATGTCCTCATATTCTTCCAAAGAGCCCTGCTGGGCTCCTGAAGCTCTGGCAGTGTCAGACTTCGGTTGTGGTTTAATTTTGATGACCATGTTCTGATCTGAACTAAGTTGAACCTGTCTCTCAAGGACATGCTGCTGGGGGTCAGGACTCTGGGTGCCCCCAACCACAAGCGAGGATTGCACAGCACAGTTACCAGGTGGGTCTGAGGATCCTGAAGGCTGATTCACGAGGGAGTATTTCTTGCGCCACGAAGGCCCATGGTGTGAGGAAAAGCCTCTCCTGCTTGGACGAGGGTAGCGGGCACCAAAGGCTCTGCCACTGTGGTAAGTGGGTGGCTGCCAACGGGAAGCAGTTGAAGTGCCTGGGGCAGGGGCATTGCCATGGAGGTTTTTATAGTCATCGATCAGACCTGGGAAGATAAAATCACAGGCTCAGTTAACCAGAGTGTGAGTAAAATCAGCAACAACCACGACTCTCTTTAAGGGCATCAATTGGCAAGATGGCCCCCACAGCCCATCTTACATCTGAGAGCTCCTGCTGATTACAGGAGGCACAGCTCCCAAGGCCTGGGAACCCATTGACAGTTCAGCCTGAGTCACCTGAGTCTGTCATTTCCACAAGCATTTTCCCCATCAGTTCTACTTCAATTCTATTTCTGTTCGCTTATCCTGAAAAACACACTCTGTAGTATAACTGTCCCTATTTGCCCACTTCCCAGTTCTACAACCATTTTTTTTTTCTTTTAGTTGGAGTCTCACTCTGTCGCCCAGGTTGAAGAGCAGTGGCATGATCATGCTCACCACAGCCTCCACCTCTTGGGCTCAAGTGATCTTTCCACCTCAGCCTACTAAGTGGCTGGGACTGCAGGTGAATACCACCACATCCCAGTTTTGTTTGTTTTTTTCTGTAGAGGTGAGGTCTCGCTATTTTGCCTAGAATGGTCTCAAACTCCTGGGCTCAAGCAATCCTCCCGCCTCAACCCTCCAAAGTGCTGGGATTATAGGCTTGAGCCACTGCGCCCATCCCACAATTCTTTGAGAGGAAGTGTCACTCAATATGAAGAGACCAGCAACGCTCTATGCTGTAACACTTGGACCAGAAAGAGACAAGTAAGCCACACAGTCCCTCTGGCTTGCCCACAGATGGAAAGGGGGCAAGGCTGTACCTTAATAATCTCTACTGGAGCCGGACACGGTGGCTCAAGCCTGAAATCCCAGCACTTTGGGAGGTCAAGGTGAGGGGACTGCCTGAGAGCATTGGGACTGAGAACAGCCTGGGCAACTCGGTGAGATCTCATCTCTACAACAAATCAAAAAATAGCCAGGCGTGGTAGCACACACCTGTAGTTCCAGCTACTTGGAAGACTGAGACGTAAGGATTGCCTGAGCCCAGCAGGTGGACACTGGGGTGGCTGTGAGCATGCCACTGCACTTCAGCCTGGGTGACAGAGTGAGGCTCTAACTCAAAAAGTAAATAATCTCTACCGAGTGCAACAGAACTGGCACTCCATACTTGACAACAAAAAACAAAAATAAAAATAAGTAACTAGGAGCACAGATCATTGACCTGTCAGATGTCACACCGACCACCCTACAGAAGAGGAGAGAGCAAAAGGCTGGAGTCCTACTGCAGTGAGCTGACACCACCACAAGGATTTTCCAAATAAGCCTCTGGATAGCTGTCCTGGTGCAGGAGGAACAAGAACACAGGCATGAGCAGAAACAATCAAGGCATTCTGACTCAACCAGCAAACCAGCAGCCAGTCTCCCAGTCATCAACACTCCCTACCACAGCTCCGCCCCCATGTGCACAGAAAGCCAAGCCCAGATCTTTAGGGCAGGTGTGTTGGAGGCCCAAGAAGTGGCCCAAAGTGGGAGGCTGGGCCGGCCTGGACTCTCTCCTCCACATAGGCTTTCCAAATCCTAAAGTCTTCTCTTTGTAGAAATAACAGTAAAAATAACCTTTTTTTTTTTTTTAAATTTACAAAGACTAACTTGGGCCTAAAAATTTTGAAGTGGGGAAGCTCAAGGCTGGGTTTGGAATACCAAGGGGCGTGTGACTGCGCAGAGGAAAGGGACATCAAAACCCGGCGTTCGGGAAGAAACGCGCGCACGCCCCAAGCCGGCTTCATAGCACTGGGCCAAAGACTAGCCCTACGTCTCGCGGTGCGGCATGAGGAGTGAGGGTGGGCGCCCGAGAACGCGAC